ACAGAGGAGAAGGATAACAGTCCTTAGGCGTAAGGCTGCATTTTTCAGGTGATTTGTTTGTCTTCTGGCTCACTGGTTATGGTATGATATTCACCAGCTTGCTAGACCTATTGTCTAACTTTTTACCGGTTGAGATCAGATTTTGTCTATTTTATTGTAGTTTTTATTTTTATATGAAAAATGTTTTCATTACTATACAGTATCAGCTGAAAATATAATGTCATAAGAATATAAAGTATTGTTCCTCCCAAATAAATGCCTTACTATACAAATGAAACTGAGCCCCTTTCCCTCTCACAGACATGTTGTAAGTCACATAAATGGATTAGGTGACTATTGTGTGTGTGAAATGGTTTAGATGTGCTGAAGTGATGGTCAGCAGGGTATTGGATTCTGACTGCAGAAACATTAGGCAATGCACACCATTTCTGTCATTTTCATTCAAACGACATCTCCCTTCCAAATCACATCTCAGGTATTCATGAGTATCACAGTTGCAATTCTGATCTTCGAAATTTGAGTTCACTAAGTTATCAGAAAAACTAAATGCAAGATGTTTTTCTTCTACAAAGTCATTTAGTATCATCCTTCAAAATAATTTTAGTTGTGAAAACAAGTGAAATATTTCAGTTGCTATGACTATTGCCAGAACTATCAGCAAGTCAGGGGAGATGGTCCTTCCCCTCTACTCAGCACTGGTGAGGCCACATGGGGAGTGCTGTGTCTATCTCTGGACTCCCCAGTATAAGAGAGACATGGACATACTGGAGAAAGTCCAAAGAAGGGCCACAAAGGTGATGGAGGGACTGCAGCACCTCTTCTGTGAGAAAAGACTGAGAGAGCTGGACTGAGAAAGCGGTAAAGCAGTTGACGTCATCTACCTGGATTTGTGTAAAGCGTTCGACACTGTCCCACACGACATCCTTGTCTCTAAATTGAAGAGACATCAATTTGATGAATGGACCACTCGCTGGATAAAGAACTGCCTGGAGGGCCGCACACAAAGAGTTGTGGTCAATGGCTCAGTGTCCAGCTGGAGACCAGTAACGAGTGGTGTCCCTCAGGGGATCGGTGTTGGGACCGGTCTTGTTCAACATCTTTGTTGCTGACATGGACAGTGGGATTGAGTGCGCCCTCAGCAAGTTTGCCGATGACACCAAGCTGTGTGGTTCGGTTGATACGCTGGAGGGAAGGAATGCCATCCAGAGGGACCTTGACACGCTTGTGAGGTGGGCTGATGCCAACCTCATGAAGTTTAACCATGCCAAGTGCAAGGTCCTACACCTGGGTCGGGGCAATCCCAGGCACAGCTACAGGTTGGGCAGAGAAGAGATTCAGAGCAGCCCTGCGGAGAAGGACTTGGGGGTGTTGGTCGATGAGAAAATGAACATGAGCCGGCTTCAGTGTGCACTCGCAGCCCAGAAAGCCAACCGTATCCTGGGCTGCATCAAAAGGAGCGTGACCAGCAGGTCGAAGGAGGTGATCCTGCCCCTTTATTCTGCTCTCATGAGACCTCACCTGGAGTATTGTGAGCAGTTCTGGTGTCCTCAACATAAAAAGGACATGGATCTGTTGGAACAAGTCCAGAGTAGGGCCACGAGAATGATCAGGAGAGTGGAGCACCTCCCTTGTGAAGATCGGCTGAGAAAGTTGGGGCTGTTCAGCCTGGAGAAGAGAAGGCTGCGTGGAGACCCCATAGCAGCCTTCCAGTATCTGAAGGGAGCCTATAGGGATGCTGGGGATGGACTCTTCATTAGGGACTGTAGTGGTAGGACAAGGGGTAATGGGTTAAAATTTAAACAGGGGAAGTTTAGATTGGATATAAGGAGGAAATTCTTTCCTGTTAGGGTGATGAGGCACTGGAATAGGTTGTCCAGGGAGGTTGTGAATGCTTCATCCCTGGCAGTGTTCAAGGCCAGGTTGGACGAGGCCTTGGGTAATATGGTTTAGAGTGAGGTGTCCCTGCTCTATGATTCTATGACTGTGTCCTGGCACAGATTGACCAGGGAGACTGTGGAGTCTCCACTCTTGGAAATATCCAAAGGTGTCTGAGCATAGACTCGGGCAGTCAGCTCTCAGTGGCCCTGCATGAGCAGGGGTATTGTACAAGGGAGGTTCTCCTCATCTTAGAGGTGCCTTCCAACCTCAACCAGTCTGTAATCCTATGATTATAAAATAAGAATTATGAAGTTGATTTTCATATTTGCTGTTACTTAACATTGAGAATTGCTTTATAAGTGTTTCCATATTTATTTATTGTCTAAGCCCATTCCTTCCATGAAGGAATTTGTTTAAAATTAGTATATTTGTCATATAATTATAGAATAGTTAGGGTTGGAAAGCACCTTAAAATCATGAAGTTCCAACTCCCCTGCCATGGGCAGAACACCTCACACTAAACCATGTCACCCAATACTCTTTCCAACCTGGCCTTGAACACTGCCAGGGATGGAGCATTCACAACATCCCTGGGCAACCTGTTTCAGTGCCTCACCACCCTTACAGTAAAGAGCTTCTTCCTTCCCCTCTTTATGTTTAAACCCATTCCCCCTTGTCTTGTCACTACATTCCCTAATGAAGAGTCCATCGTCTCAACTTTTTACAATACTTTTTATTAAAATGCTTTGCCAAAAAGTCTCCTGACCACATATACTGATATCACAGAAGGTGGCTGTGGCTGTATCAGGCTCACACCTTGCCACAAGCACCTCAACTGCAATGAGGGACTGTCCCACCTCACCTTTCCTGGAATGCTGCCTTACCCCGCTGAAGGCAAACCCAACCTCAGGCTATGCCAGGTTTGCAGAAGCAGAGAAGTTCTCCTACTTCCCTGCTTCTCACCAAAACAGTGAAGAGAAGAGGTTACAGATCCTCTCCAGAGCTGCAAAGAAACAAGGGTAATAGTGGAACTCCTTTCAGCATGAGATTTGTTCAGCCATGTTATAGTATCTCATCTTCAAGCACAGCCTGACTAACTGCAAGGTTAGACTGACACAGATGTCTGGTGGGAGATTCTTGAAATTAGCAAACTGCAAAGCAGATTTAGGAATGTGACACCAGTTGCTGCTTTCAAAGGATGGTAAAGGTGACTTGAACTGAAAAATGGTGCATTCTCTCCTCCCAGCTACCACCTAAACTGCCTCTTCTTGAGGAGATCACAGGTGCCTTGATTAAATTCTTTTGGGAGACACCGCATCTTATTACAAGGCAGCTCCAACACTGGTTCTGTACCAATCAAGATTTTCAATGAACTGATTAGAAAACTTGTCTTGCCCAGTAGGGCAATCAAGACAAGTACATATTAATTTTAAGAACAAACAAACACAAACAACCTTTGTAATCTTACCACTGTAAACACTTGTTTTATTGAGTGACTTACATTCCCCCTAGGAGTGAAGCAGCTTTGATTCAGAGTCAGTCGTTTAGTCAGAAAAGCAAACACTGGCATTGTCAGGAGAAAGAGGAACTTTATACCCTTTAAAGCAGCATAATATAGCCACACCTTCTGCTACCCTTCCAACTGGCAATGCAGAAGAAGTGGATTTTAGCCACCACTCTTTTTTAGTGCAGTGGGAACATCCTGTTGCTATGGAACTCAGATTAGTGTTACTTCATAAGAAGACTAGTGTGGTTACCCCAAAAAAATAAGAGGACTAAAAGTGAAAAATCTCCATTTTATTGTCAATTAAAATGTTGTTTTCAAAATAATGTAGATGTATTTGCAGATAAAAGCAGGCTGGGTGGGGCAGAGAGCATCATGCATCATGCCAAGTCATATTTGCAGGGCTTGGCCTGGGAGCAGCCCAAAGCGGCCCAGGTTTGGTGCTGGCAGAGGCAGGAGTGTCATGCCACCAGGTCATAGTTACTGCAAGTCCTGTTCTTTGCTGAAGGAGGAACTTAAAGCCTGCTACAATGGTTTTGTTTTGCTTTAACCATTAAACAAAAGCAAATGCAATGAAAGAAAGCAAACTGTCACACCATTGCACAAATGCAAGCAGGTGTTTGAAATGCAGGGCAGGTTACTATGGCTAATTCAGGGGAATGGAGGTGGGGGAGAGGGAGAGGGAGGAGAAGAACTCGGAAGGCAAAAATCTGCTTTCATTGGAGAGTTGCAGTCACAGCAGAGATTCCTGAATTTTTACTTCACATGAGCAAAAAATGTGAATGTGGTCTCTGCTGAAGATGGCTTGATCCATAGCAGTATGGGACCAAGTTGTTTGAGCTGTGCAGTTTTAGACATGTGGATGGCCGCTTATGCTGAAAGCATTCCTGAAACTATCCCCACAAGTTGTCTCCCTTCAGTAGGCACTAATTCTCCTGTGTCACTGCAATCTAGCTTATTCAGCAACATGCTGCTGCAAGCTTGTTTTGTTTGCAAGGAATACATCAGCACCGGAGGCAAACCTTTCTGGTGAGGCTGACAATGCAGTCCTCTGAAAAATAGGATTTGATGAGGAAGGAGGGAGTCCAGGCTGGTCTCACAGTCAGCTTCTTTCTTTGCAAGTATTTTTATAACTGTCAGTCCTGAAAACTGAAACTGAGATCCAAAAGTAGAATTAAGAAGGGAGGGGAGGAGGAAACAGGTTGGTTCATTGATTGTTAGATTGTAGATTATAGCTATTAGTTAAAATGACAGCACCTGTAGCCCAATGGGGTACAGGCTCAAAGGCTATTAATGCACTGCAAGTAACATGATTTGGGGATATGAAAAGAGGAAAATCAGTGTGAGATTTAAATCCCAGTTTCTACTTTGAAAGCTGCCTTTTCAAGAGGGAGAAGTCCAATACTCCCCATTCACATGCTAATTCCCTTGTTTCTACAAACTGGTATTCTCCTTCACCTATCCACATTAGCATAAAACACGGAGCTTGAATCCGCATTTTTCATAGGATTCAAAAGACAACCAGGTTTCAAAATTTCCAAAATGCAGCTGCTCGGAGTTGGTTCATACATGCTAAATGCCAAAGTATCAGAAATGCAATACTCATTTGCCTCCTGCATCCAGAATGTAATTTCCATTTTTATTTTAATCACTAGTGATCCATTGTTCCAAATTTCTTTAAATAAATGTCCCCCACTGCTGTCCATAGCTTCTGCAGAAACAATTTTGAATATTTTGCAGGCAAAAATAGCAGAAGTGTTGAAATTCCTGCCGTTCCTCTCCAGAGTAGATGACTGATGAAAAGCATATTTCCAAGCCTGTGAAAATATGAGCCAGAAATAAATAGCAAATGAGATTATCCTTATATTGATTTCTCTGCAGTACATTCTGATTAACCAGCAAATCAAAGAGTTTTTTTCCAGCTGCCCCACCAAGATCGTATTCTTCATTCTCCGTATGTGTGGCTTCTGATAAGTAAGTGCTTCTTTTAGTTATCAGTTACCTGGGGTCTTTTCTGCTCTGCTATTCAAAAAGCTTGGTCTTCTTCCTGTACGTCTGAACTTTCACAAGGTGGATTCTAATACTCTCTTTGTTCTCTGTAAAAGATTCCACCACAAAATCTGTTGTTCACATCTTTCACAATCTATTTCAAAATCAGCATGTCTTGCTGAAAACATCCTGATGCACTTGGTCCTTCTTAAGGGGTTAAAGCAATCACTGGGACAACCTGTCTGAGCCTGTGGGATAGTTTCTATCACTAGAAGATTTTTTCAGGAATCAAAACCAGTGCATTTATCAGAGCGACTTTCACTGATATAACCAATGGTTAATGCAAGGTCTCTGTTGCTGGTGTTACAGTGAGCTGTCTAGCATGAACTTCATGACAGTACCAAAATATCCAAAGAGCTAGTAGTATAACCTGCCCTAATCAGAATTCAACCCTCCCCCACTGTTAATGGTCAGTATAACACTAGCCTAGGTGTCACGGCAGCAATATAATGTCTCTGTTGTGGTGGAAATGTGCAGCTAACTTTCAAACACCAAACAGCAGCGCAGATGTTCAGCTGCCTGCGATGACCCAAGGCTTGCTTTTGTGGGGACACAGCTGTGATGCCTTGGCTGAGTTTTGGTTAGAAAGTTGTCCAGATGCAAGAAAGTGTGTAAGCTAAAGCCATATGAAAGTAAGTATGCAGGGAGAAGTGAAATTGTGTCAGCAGTAACAGTTAGTTGGAAAATACTGGGGAGGAGGGAAAGATGCAGCACCCCCAGAAAGAAGGCAGAGATTCAGCAGACAGCAGCTTGGCCAGACAAGGGGTCATGATCCACTCCAAAGAGGCATGGAAATGAAAAGTTCCCCTCCTGACCAACAGCTGCTTGCCTGATAATATTTGTAATACCCAGTTGAGTAGCCTGTACTAAATTACTTGGGTAATAGTTAACACTTGAGTAATACCTAGCTGAGTAGACTGTTAGTTGTACCTGTGTACTCTGTGCGTTAGTTGATACAAAATAGTTGCTGTATGCTTTTACACCTTGCAGTCTTTTGGCATAGTAGAAGGTGCTCAAGGAAAAATGGCCCATGGAGAAAAGGTTGCAGGTGTGAGCATTAGTGCTGGTTCTCTTCTTCCTCTGCCCCAGCTTAATTTCTTCTTGCCACACAGTAAGACTTCAGGACCTCAAGTTACCAGATACCACCAACTAAAATGGAGATAGGTAACATGCATCACTAGATAGTATTGCTGTCTAACAAAAGAGGTTGCTGTGAAGGTTTGTTTTCCACTAGTAACTGATGTCAGCAGTCTCTGTAGCCATATTTAGAGGGAGAAAAAAACTAGGATATTAAATTCTGATAATGCTTTTTTAATCAGAAGGAAGGAATACGCTTTCACTAGAGGGCACACTGAGTCTGGATTTTATACATCCTACTCTAAACCAGAACAATAAGGTGAAAACCAGCAAGGTTGAGCACTGTTACTCTGTATGATTGAATCCTCCTAGATGGCAAATTGCAGAATGTCTTTAAAATGCTCCAACCCCTCAGCACCACAGACTGTGGAATAGGGCAGTGAATTATGTTACTTCTCTGTACGAAATAGAATATTTTCCTCTGTCTGTCACAATGTCCATCAACAGTGCAAAAGAACAAATCCCTGGGACAGCCATGACTGGTACTTCATTACAGGGGCAAGGAGAAAGGAGGAAATGTAGGCATGTTCTCTCTAACTATTGGCAAAATTCTCTAAAAGCTTTAATTTGAAGGAAACAACATGCAGTATAGAGATCACTTATGGCCAAATTTAAGGCCTGTTCCCAAATGAAGACTGGGGAAGATTTCACGTTAAGCATCAGGAACAGTGTCTCCACAAACATTTGGCAGGTAACATGGCTCCATAGAGTGTATCTGTACTGTGCCATGGTTGGTTGGTTGGTTGTTTTTTTTTTTTGAGTACTTGATATCTTCGTTATTCCCATTTTGGCCTAGCTCTAGGCTGGTCCCATGGGCTGAAAGCCTGCTGGCAGCTGAGGAGTGTTAGGTATACTCCTGAAACTCATTATGCCCTTGAGCTTCCCCACCAGAGTGCTCACAGATCAGCCCTCTGGGCAGCCCCAGGCATATAAGAAACACAGTTAGGAGACTTGCCTTACAAATGCTGATGCAATTTAAAACATGACTCCAGGCTGGCAAGCTGTAAAAACGCATCTCCAAGGAGTTATTTGCTTTGTGCCAGGCAGAGGGCGGACTTCGACACAAGCTGGAGAATCAGCCCTGGGTTCTGGCACCAGTGGTTCCACTTAGAGGGCGGAGTTGAAGTATGTGTATATAGATTCATGTCCTGTAGACAGTCTTGTGTCATCAAGGCTGAAAGTCAGAGCAAAGGGTGCAGTACGAGTAACTGCATTGAATTTGTGGGCTTTTTGCAACACAGAGGTAGGCTGTACAGTAAAGATGTCATGCCCACCTGGCAGGACTAATACAGCAAGAACAACTGAAATTTCTGCCCGTCACCTGGTTTGATATATGTTTTTTCTCTACAGGGATGGTTAGAAGGAAAACCACTTTGATTCTTACTGTTTATGTTATTAGTAGCAGTGATAACAACAGAAAGTCCTACTAAATAATTGGGGAGTGTAAATAAAATGATGGAACGATACAAATGTTCTGTAAAAATTGCTCTTTCAAAACAGTGTCCAAGAGGGGCTGCATGATATGTTATTTTCCCCCCCAAATAAATCATACATCTCCCTAACCTTGCAGCTGCGTGACGGATACTGGAGTGACAAGCCAGATTCATAGCACTTTTTGCAGACATTCCTCAAAGCAGCTGAAATGAACCATTCTCCCAAATTAAAGATGGAAAGACTAATTTAACTGTAACTAAAGGCAGAGAATCATAGAATCACAGAATGGTTTGGTTTGGAAGGGACCTTAAAGGTCATCTAGTTCCAAACCCCCTTCCACAGGCAGGGACGCCTTCCGCTAGACCAGGTTGCTGAAAGTCCCGTGCAGCCTGGCCTCGAACACTGCCAGGGATGGTGCATCCACAGCTTCTCCGGGCAACCTGTGCCAGCGCCTCAGCACCCTCACAGGGAAGAATTGTTTCCTAATATCTAGTCTGAATATACCCTCTTTCAGCTTAAAGCCGTGCTAATAATAAATTGCAAGCTTACCAATGAAGATAGGAAACTGCAATAAAAATACAAGGTACACAGCAGAAGGCTTACGCATCAAAGAATCACTTGCCTCCCGTGGGAAAAGCTCTCCGGCGTAGCCCAGCACCTGTAGAGCAAGGTAGGGAAGCGCAGTGCGTTGTTTAAGTGTGCCATCTAGTGACTGACGTGGGTTCGACTGAGGACTGCTTGTTGGTAAATCACGACTTGCAGCGAGCGCCTACCCATAGGAATTTATTGCGTTTCTATTTTTCAGAACATCTGCATGTCCCAGATGTTATGCTGAATGCCTCAAACTGCTCTTGCTGGTAATCTGATTATTGGAAAGGTAAGAGGGAGGGGGTTCAGCTTTCAGAGGCTGCTTGTTCTTAGGTGGAGTCACTGAGCATTCAGCAGTGATAGTCTGTAACCTCTGAAGTGCCTTACCCTGTGGGCACTATATTCCATTCCTCATCTGAGAAGAAATGTGAAACGGCAGGGGGAGAAAGGACAGTGATACACAATTATTTAATCATATTCTTTTCTACCTTTCTAAGCAGAGTAGGGATTTGACTCAAATACAGTGATTTTGGCTTCATGAGCAGAAGAAAGTTCCTTCTCAAGGTACAGTACTGAAGCCCCTGTAAAAGCATTAGAATAAAATAAAATAAAATTAATTACATTAAATAAATGTTAAAATAAATTAAATAAAAATAAATTAGACTGAATAATAAAAATAAATTAAATATTAATAAAAATAGGTTAAATGAGACTGAGACTTGCTGGGGAATGATAGCTGTTACCCCTGGTGACTGGCCCTCCTTCATCAACACCTCTTTGGTAGCTCCCTTTCCCTTGCTCTGTCAGCCACTTCTGCACATGCAGTTGAAAACTGCATGTTAGCTTTAAAAAATAACCAAGTTAACTTGAGTTAGCTCTAACTGATGTATGGAACCACCAAAGACCAGACAAAACAGGCTTTTCTTGGGGATATGCAGGATGCAGATGTTATGTATCAGAAAGAAAAATGAGGCATTTTGCTCATTGAGATCACAATGGCGGATGCTTAACAATTTTTTTCCATGAGAAATATTTTTCTGATAATTATTTTCACAATTTAAAAAATTCACAGCTGTCATAATATGTCCTAGAAAAGCAAAATGGGCATTGGTTCTCTGCTAAATAATATTCGAAACACAGGACAGTGTAGATTACAAAGCCAGATGTTCTTCTACCTGCAATATAGGGCAAACAGGAGATGCAAGAGACAGAGGGAACACCACATTGCACATGCTTGCCATTTTCAACTGTTACAAATAGCTGGAAAGGAGAGAAAACCCTGCAAGTAGCTCAGGGATGGAGACAGCTGTTGCATGGTCAGCCTGTAGCTTCCCAGGAATACAAGAATTTAGAGATGGGAGAAGATGGTAGGTGAAATTCTATTAATCATCTCTCACTGCAGATTTTGCGACACAATTACAGGGGTTCTTCACCCACTTTTGGGTGGAAGAAGAATGCAGAGAGAAGATAAGAAAATTTGGACATAGTTAATCACATGACATAATGGAGAACTGAGCAGGTAGTTGGCACTTAGTAACACCTCCCTCGTCTCCTTAGGAGGGGGTTTCTACAGAGACTGCTTTCTCATGTGGAGGGAAAGCACCCGTAGCAAGGCTTGTGTCAGGCAGCTACAGTTGTTTACAGAGAGGATTTGCCTTAGTGTCAGGGAAATCTGTTTAGACTGTTGATGGAAATCCAGCTTGAGTATTGGATAAGGGCTGTAATATTAGCCAAATCCTATTAAACTAATAAAGATTTCAGATCACTTCCTCATAAAGAAGCATTCAAAGGGTGGGTTTAAGTCTAGAAATTTAAGAAAGATAAATCCAAATTAAATCCTTTTAATCTCTTTCAATTTATCAGCATTCTTTTCCTTGAGGGGGAGATAGGCTAAAAACGATGATGGGGCCATTGGTACGGTACTAGCATTGTCTGTTCTTTCACGTTACAATAGCAATTCAAAATCCCATTACAATCATTTCAAGAAAAATCTGAATTCGCTCCTTTGCAAGGGATTATAAACAGAGTTTTTTTCTGAAGAAGCTGTAGGCAAGGGCACCATATGGCAGAGGCAAGGCTAACTTGGGAGCTGTTTCTTATGCTAGTTGCTGGCTTATAATATGAAGAGCTGCATTGGCTGTTCAGGAGTTGGAGGATCCAAGCAAAGCACGTGCCTGTTTCCTTCGAGGGGATGCTATCTGCTGGACCAATGCTTAACAAAAGGTCAATTTACATTAAAAACAGAGAATGGTTTGGTAGCCCCAATGGTGATTTGGAAATATCAGTATAAAACTTACAGTCAAATAATTTTTATGTTGGAGCAGACATAACTCCCCCAAACCTTCATTTGACATGCTCAACTTAGTGTTCATATGTCTTTAATATCTGTTTTGCATGTCACTCAGTTTAATCTGTACAAGTGGTTAAAAGTAGAGGAATTATAGGAGGCAGTTGTGTGTGTGTGTGCACATTTGACATCCACAATTTGCTGGTAAAAGAGCAACTAACATTTAACTCATTACTATTTTTAAGAAACTACTACTAGCTTCCAGAAGCTGCTTGATTTTCTGATGCATGATTATACTGACAGCAAAGACCATTGTAATGTCACAGCCACTTACCTTATGGCTCGGAGCTGTCTTGGGTCCTCAGCAGACAGCCAAACAAGGCATCATCTCACCAGGGGACTTTTTCAGACATCTCCCAGTTTGGTGGTAGGGGCCATTTTTGCCCCTGCAGGTGAGACACTGCAATCTTTAGGCCTCCAAGAAGAGAATTTCAAAGGGAGGAGGGAGCATGAAAGAAGAGGTTGCCTAGTAGAAAGCAGCACATAACCCAAAAGGAAGAAAGAAAGAGTTGGTTGAGCTTTATCTCCCTAATGTTATCCACAGACAGACAACAGGGAGGACTCTGTCTGGCAGATAACCTAATGGCTTTGATCTTCCTTGCTTGTGCATTGTGGGTTCCTCAGCAACTTCCAAGGCAACTGGCACAGCAGAAAAAATGAGTCCCCAGTTGCCAGGTGTGTGTTTTGTAACACAACAGCTGCTCGGTCAGAACTGGAGTGAAATGGCCAATGTGTTTCTTGTGAAATAAGGGTTACTTCTCCAGAGCTTGAAACTTGATCCTTTTTGGAAGTAAAAGATTAGTTACGCAGAGAAAATAAATAGCCTCAGAAAAACAAGCAATGAACTCCAGTTAAAAACATGAATTTTAATGCATTAGCCTCTCAGACACTTGCTCATGCTCTTTTTCATATTACGTATGAGCAAGGACAAGGGGATGCTTTATATGAGAGAGAGACAAGAAGATGCTCTCACAGCTCTGGGAATCTGACATAGGAAATATTGTCTATAACCAAAGCAACCGATTCAGATGTTAACAGTTTCTCCAGAAGCACAGAAGCAGCAGCAGATGATGTCATGAACAAAAGCAGGCAGCTGATCAGAAACAGAGCAAAAGAAAAATGGATATGAGTATCACAGCCCAGAATTTCAGAAGCAACAGTAATTCATACGCAATGAGCTATAAAAAGCAGAACTGACCGAGAAGGGGACTCATCATCAGCTCGCATGAAAATGCAAATCCCTACCACCTGTGTGTAGCATTTCTGTCAGCGTGAATGCTACTTGATGGGCAGAGACACAAATCACAAATGCTTCTTCTGTGAAAGAAGAAACGCAAGCTCTATTTACATTCATCCAAAAAAAGCTTTGAGAGAGAATGCTCTGAGCAATTAAGGTACTGGAAGTGTTCAAAACAGGTTATCCAAGTCGGAGACATTAATCCAGTAAGAGAATTCCCAACTGCTGACTCACATGTACCTGAAACACAATTCCTATCTCAGTGCAAACAGTTGCCATAGATACCCATGGACATGGGAGAAGACAGGGCAGAAAACCCCACATTTTCCTCCTAGATCTTTTCAGGGCAGTCTTCCTGCCTGAAGGATGCTGCTTGATGAAGCCTTGGTAGATCAGATACCATTTAAAGCTACCCTACCTTTGCTGGCTTGTTTTTTTGTGGGAGGCTCTGCTTGAACATCTTAGGGGTGTAAAAGTGATGCTCACTGTGGGCAAGCAGACCTCATTTGCCACAGTCTGTGTCACTGTGCCTGTGGCCAAACTGGACTGCTTCTAGACTAGACACGAGTCCAGATTATACACCTGTTTTCTGCTGCATGCTGCCTGCTTACATGGAATGGACTCTTTGTAGCTGTCAAGTCACACCCATCTTGTCAATAAGCCACAAGATACTCACACCGGCAGGACTAAGGACACCCTTGGGTGCAGCTGACTCAACTACCAGAGATTAAATCCCTCCTCTCCTTTGCAAGCTTCATGGTGAACTAATGCTCTGAGTTGTACTAGTGCTATGGTCTAAGATATAAAGGCAGCGTTTATCAGAAATAATATCTGGTTTAGACCAGCTAATATTATGTGATAAGACATAGAAGTGGTGATGATCAGGTTATACCAATAGCTGAAACTTTAAAGTAGAAAATTTGTGTTTTCCAGCTACATTTGTTTCCCCCATGTACATATCTGCTTTCCTAATTAATCGTCCTACCTGGATACTCTTTCTTTCTAAATACTATAGGGCATTCACAGTCCTAGGGATGCCCTTGAGGACTAGAACATGGCTTTCCTGGGAACGTACATTTTAAATCTTGCAGAATTCAGGCTTAAGCCCTAGTCTAAAATGATGATTTATGATCGCCTTTTAGAAATAATAGATGCAAGTAATTGTGCGAAAGTCTGCATTGACAGGAAGAAAAAAAGCAATAAACGTAGCATCTTTCAAAATGAAAATATTACTCATAGCCCTGGAACATAATGGTTCAATTTTTCAAAATTAAAAAGTACAACTCTGCAGAGAATCAATCTAAATATATACTAGAACACCCTACACAGCAGATACCAATATTGAAAGGATAGTGATAGAGCTCTGAGGAAACCAACCACACCATTTTCATGCCAAGGAAATCAGTCCTTCTACCATTAGCCTTTACACAGGCTTTGATGTTATACCATGTGTTAATTATTTCCAAATCACAAGTGCAAACACTCACCCTGATTGGAAAATTAGCAGATTTCAAACTCAGGTAATTTCCCCCTAATGAGGAACTTGTTGAACTGAATTTAACAATTAGCTCACACCCTTTGCTGGCTGGGTATGGCAAGGCTAGAAGGAAACATGGAACTTATCTTGTTCGGCAATTTGCAACAAAGGATGAATATAAATTCAGAACTTGTTTTCTTGCTTTTCTAACTCCTCCTTTTTTTTCCTAAGGCAGTGGTTCTCAAAGGGTGATAAAGG